AATGCGAAGGAGGCCATTAGAGCCTCTCCCAGTGACCTGTGAGGACATAATGTCCCCTTTAATCTCCTCTTTGCCGCTTTGAAGAGTTTTCAGTTCGCCCAGATCAATGGCCCAGCTGGAGAGTTTACTCAGCTGTTTCTGAGGTAATGCCTCATGTCTGGGTTCCCTACAATGCTTTTGAAATGTTAGAAAAAGTCACTGCTTATTGCAGAGAGACATGCAGATCCCAGGAGCTCAATGGCGGGGGCTTATTCTCCAATGCGAATAACCCTACAAATGCCAGGGCGTGATTTGAAAGGCTTTCGCCAGAGTTCAGAACGTTTCTGGAGAAAAATGCCAGTGCTGCCTCGATAAGCCTTCATTAGATCAAACTTTCTAGCAATTAAAAACAACAACAACAACAACAACAACAACAACTCCCTAGCCTAGGCATCTGTAGCTTAGGTGGGTTCATAGCTGTCAACTTACAGATTTGAAAATAAGGGCCCAGCAGCCTCGAAAATAAGGGATCAGCAGCCAAAATAAGGGATCAACAATTACTTTGATAACATACATATTTTGTTGCGTGCAAATGGCTTTAGATACCTATTAGATCCATAAATTACCATATAGCATATATTCAACACAAAAAACAGCAACAATTTGTTGCTGACAAAGCACAGCTGGACATAAAAAGGGCGCCATTACCTTCAGTAGCTTATTTAAGGGACATCATCAATAAGGGACAGCAGCGGGACATGGCGCTGGGATAAGGGACTGTCCCGCCAAATAAGGGACGCTTGACAGCTATGGGTGGGTTTGGTCTTCTCAAGTAAGGGAGATGTTTCTGAAAAAAAATATGTCTCAGGCCGTGTGCACATTCTCATTTCCTGTACGTATGACATTAGCACAATCCATATCTATCCTGTCACTTCTTCGGAAATACTGCGTTTTGATGCATTTCCCCCCAAAACCAGCTGTTAATGTGAATACACCATGAACTGAGTTTCAGAAAGGCTTTTGTTATTACACCTAGAGGATTTATGTATGTATTACTGTTTGGGGATGAAAAGCTTCATTACGTTGTATGTCTCCTTATTCTTGCTGGCGGGCATGAAGCTAAATTTGCGGCTCTGCTCTGAATGTTTCTTTTGTTTCCATTATGGCATATAGCTAAATTATTGCAACTGTTATGAGTAGGTCCAGTATCTAGAATTGTATGTGATGTATATGTATTCTCCGCTCCAATAATTTGTATTGCTTTTCATGTAAATACAAGAACAACACATGACTACAGTAACTTGTCCAGTGGTACATTCTAATTAAGTTTCATATGAAGTACACAGCACACAAGCAATTCATCTATTTATGTATTACCAATTCAAATATCCTCCCCACGGAGATTCTCGTGTTTGGGGTGGAATAAAAGTATCTCCTGTCTCATTTATAAAGGAAAATAAAGGAAGCCCAAGTCTCACGAAAAGTGTCTATCCTTGAAGTGCCTTTAATTACCTTTCTGTGGTACGTGAGGCCAAAGTTCCAAATATTCCAAATATTCCAGTTCCAAGTTCCAAATATTATTTAACCAGATTTCAATGGATATAACCATTTTGCTTGATTTTAGTGATGAATGCTGCTCACATTGCTATGTTATTCTTATGGATTCCTCCTGCTGCTGTCTTTATGGTGCTTCTGGTATATTTTAGTTGTTTTAATTATATGTTGGAAGTTGGAACTGACCCTAGAAGGCATCCTAAAATATTTTTAACAATAATTATAACAGCAGCAGCAGCAGCGACTCCAGGGAGTATGATTTTCAGCTGTCAGCAGCGACGGTAACATACAAAAATGTGTTATATTAGGAGAAATCACTTGCAAAAATGTGCGCATTCGTCAAAACGGCATACATGATTGCGTTTATTAGGAAACGTTTGCACCAAAATGCCGAAGAATTTGTGAAGTTTTGTTTTTGTTTTTTTAAAAAAAACAGATTGCAAATTGCTGCAGAAATATGTAGAATGAGAGAGAGAAAAATGAGAAACTGAGAGAACCGAGACTGACAGATCTCAAAAGTGAATAGAGAAGGGAGAGGCATACTGTTGCAGCTGTAAACTTTATAAGCAGAACTGTAGAGAAAATGAAGACTCCCTGCAGGCCATCTGGTTGTTTAAAACACTGAAATAGTTTATGGCGTATGCAGCAGATATTGCTGAGCAACGGTGGGGACTCAAGCAGTCAGAACTGCTCTCCCACCCCTCCAGAAATAGGTTATTTTGAGCATCCCGTCCCCTGCAGAGCATTCCTATGCCTTCAGATCTTCCATTGTGGCAGGGCCTTCTCCTGCCCAGCCTCTTCCTGGGCCCTGCTGCTTGCCGTGTGGCATATCTGTAGCCCCAGTCAGTTGCACCAGGTCGGGGAAGAACAGGGGCTGGGTGGGAACAGGCAATAAACTGCAGCTGCCTCGCTTCCTGCCGTATCTGGGAGGTTTTAAAGGCATAGGAATGCTCTTTGGCTTCCATACAAGCAATCCTGCACGTACAGCTTTTCAGGGGTGCTTCCCACGGCGGACATTTTAGCAGCATTGCTGTGCTGAGAGCATTGGTAGAAGCTTGGGCAAGAGCCTCAGTCAAAGAGCCCTAAGCACGTTTTCCAGCGCCTGTTGACCCCAAGCATGACTGGAGGCGAGTCCTGTGGGATGTAACATAAGCAGACAAGTACAACACTTCCTGTTTGCCCAGAGTGGACACACAGGGGGATGTTACTCCAGCCAGGAGGACTTCCGGTCACACCTGTCTGGAGCATCCTCCTGCTGCCTGTGACCAGGTAGATGGGCATGACCCTGTGAAACCCTGTAAAAGGGCCAGTCACGCAGCCATCTTCCTCTTGATGCCATTCTCTCTTTGACTTTTAATATTTGATGAATTATTGTATTTTAATATTTTGCTGGAAGCCGCCCAGAGTGGCTGGGGAGACCCAGCCAGATGGGCGGGGTAGAAATAATAAAATGACAACGACGATGATGATGATGATGATGACTCTTTGACTCTCTTCGGATATTGATGTATTTTGCTGTCTGCTGGTTCTCAGCCAGCAGGACATGGGCTCATTCGCATATGGGATGAACTCAAACCCTTTTCTGTAACTACAAGCTAAAGCCTGCCTTTAGGGAACCTACTGTGAACTGAATGTAAGTAAATTTATTATCATTTATTATCATTACAGTGGTACCTCTGGTTACGTACTTAATTCGTTCCGGAGGTCCGTTCTTAACCTGAAACTGTTCTTAACCTGAAGCACCACTTTAGCTAATGGGGCCTCCTGCTGCTGCTGCTGCCGCACCGCCGCCACACAATTTCTGTTCTCATCCTGAAGCAAAGTTCTTAACCCGAAGTACTGTTTCTGGATTAGCGGAGTCTGTAACCTGAAGCGTATGTAACCTGAAGCGTATGTAACCCGAGATACCACTGTACTTTTAAAAGAAGACTGTTGTGTCTTTATTCTTTTTAAGAGGGATTAAAGGGGAATTTACCAGGAACAAACCCAATCTGGGCAAGCCAGATTGGATTGCTTAAGTAAAGAGATTCAAATGAATCTACCAACCAGCTTCCTGCAATATACGGGGGAATGTACTCTGCTACCAGCTCACTGGCGTGAGTGAGGAGGGATAATATTTAATCAATATATCGTCTCCTACTATCCACAACATTCCCACAAGTCCAGTGTGGAGAATCCCTGTACATCATAGACCACACCTCTGCGGAAATCTTATCTGCATAACTATTAAAGGTGTCGCAGCCCTGCTCTCACCTGGCCACTGGAGCCCTGCGCTAGGCAGCCACCACCTGTGGTTCCTAAAGGGGATGGTCTGTTGGTTTCTGTTTCCCTCACTGAGCAGCTGCTGGTAGTCACAAGACTATGTTTTCATTCCACAGTCCAGATACTGTTGGATTCCCACAGGAAAGGGAGACGGGATGTGACGTTTACTGGTTTCCTGTTTCTTTGTTCTGTCGTTCTTTGTTGAGTTGCTCTCTGCTTCTCACAGAGACAAGATGTATATTTGTATGCTCTCAGCATAGCTTAGAAATAAAGCATAGCAATGTAGCACCATACCTGCCTCATCCTTCCGTTTGCGGACTCTGGGAATACTCTGCTGGGCTCAAACCAAGATGAGCCGTATCAGCTCGGAGGATCGGAGCTGAATTTAACTAACATGGTCTTGGGTGATGACATCACTATGCCATGTTCCTTCCTAAGCACTTACTGGCAGGAACTAAAGGGTTGCTTTACGGGTCACATTTTTTGTCAGCCCAAAACATAGGATGCTGCCAAATACCGAGTTAGGCCACTGGTCCATTTAGCTCAGCATGACCCAGACGGGCAGTGGCTCTCCAAGATTTTGGAGGATGTGCTCTACGTGGGGCTACCTTTGAAGGTGACCCAGAAACTACAACTAATCCAGAATGCAGCAGCTAGACTGGTGACTGGGAGTGGCCGCCGAGACCATATAACACCGGTCCTGAAAGACCTACACTGGCTCCCAGTACGTTTCTGAGCACAATTTAAAGTTATGGTGCTGATCTTTAAAGCCCTAAATGGCCTCGGTCCAGTACACCTGAAGGAGCGTCTCCACCTCCATCGTTCAGCACAGACACTGAGGTCCTGCGCTGAGGGCCTTCTGGCGCTTCCCTCACTGCAAGAAGTGAGGTTACAGGGAACCAGGCAGAGGGCCTTCTCGGTAGTGGCGCCCATCCTGTGGAACGCCCTCCCTTCAGATGTCAAGGAAATAAACAACTATCTGATTTTTAGAAGGCATCTGAAGACAGCCCTGTTTAGGGAAGTTTCTAATGTTTGATGTTTTGGCACTCTATTATTATTATTATTATTATTATTATTAGGAGCCATCCAAAGTGGCTGGGGAAACCCAGCCAGATGGGTGGGGTATAAACAATTTCTTCTTCTTCTTCTTCTTCTTCTTCTTCTTCTTCCTCTTCTTCTTCTTCTCCTTCTCCTTCTCCTTCTCCTCCAGCCCTACCTGGGGATTGAACCTGGGACCTTCTGCATGCCAAACGGATGTTCTGCCACTGAGCTACATGATTTGGAAAATCGCTGCTGCAGTCATGTAAACGGCTACCATTCAGTAGCATACCTGCATTGATCACTTAGATCACGGGGTTCCAACCCTTTTGAGCTCCTGGGCTATATTTGCAAACCAGACAAACCCTCCAGAACCAAGTGCCTATTCTATTGGCTACAATGCATTTCTTTCCAACGGAGCTTCAGCTGAGCAGGGGAGACCCTGTGGGCACCAGAGCAGGCCTCTGTGGGCACCTGTACACATACAAGCACCAAGGTGGCACAAGCAATGACAACTCAGAGATGTGGGATGTGAAACACAAGAGCAGTCAAGTAAAACATTCCCAGAGTGAACATGTTTACACATGGGGAGGAATGTTTGTCCAGCCAGCAGGTAAACTTCCTGCTTCCTTCTGGCCTGGGACAGACTTCCTGTGCTGGTCCCGGGGGTAAGGTACCTTGGGTGTAGCAGAGTCCACACGAAGAGGGGCAAGGTCCGAGGCAGAGAGCCGGGCGGGGAACAGGAATGCTGGAACAGGAGGCTGTGCAGGGAACAGGAACACCGGATGGTCGGGAACAGGAGGCCGAGCAGGGAACAGGAGTACCGGATAGTCAGGAACAGGAAGCCGAGCAGGGAACAGGAGTACCGGATAGTCAGGAACAGGAAGCCGAGCAGGGAACAGGAGCACAGGAAGGTCCGAAGCCAACAACGACGTTGCTCCCGCAACCTGGGGCCGGGCTGACTGGGCTTTTATCCTCTTCTAAGGCCAGGGGCGGTCCCGGTCCCCAGGAGCCCCGCCTCCTCTGGCCTTAAGGCGAGCACTCCTCCTGGGGGCAACCAGTTCCCTTCGCCTCTCTGCCCTAAGCCTCTGCAGATCAGGAGAGGCCGAAGGGTTACTGGGCCCTGGAGGAGGCTCACCTGTGGCCACTGAGTCATCAAGCCCCTCTGGGGCCAGAAGGGCTTCACCTGGGGCCAGCTCCTGATGCACTGCCACAGGTGCAGGCTCTTCAGCATCTAGGCCTTGCCCCAGTTCAGCCGGCCCTGGAGGCGGGGACTCCTGTGCAGGCTGGGATTCCTCTGTTTCATCCTCCGAATCGGAATCCCAGGCCATCACACCATTCCCCTCCCAGGCCCCCCTCAACCGAGGGTCCGGACCCGGCTTGCCGGGAGTACGTCGCATGGAACTCTCGGAGGCAGGCAGGTGCGTGGACATTGGCCGCTGGTTCGCAGGAGCGGTCCTCGGGTCCGTACCCCTTCCTGTCGATGCGAGACGGCAGCTGTCCCCTGCGGTAGCGGGCGTCCGGGATGCGTTCCACCTCGTCCGCAGGCTCTCCCGAACCAACACTGGCTGCGGTCGGGGACGGTCCAGGTGGAACTCGTCGGGTGGGGCCACCGGACTCAAAAGGGACCTGTGGAAGACCGGGTGAACCTTCAGGGTTGCGGGTAACCGGAGACGGAATGCCACAGGAGAGATTTGGTCTACGATAGGGAACGGGCCGGTGAGCGGGCGTCCAGCTTCCGCGAAGGTCGAGAGGGGTGGAGGTGGCGAGTGGAGAGCCAAACCAGGTCACCGGCGCGAGTTCCGGCCCCACCTGGCGGTGGCGGTCGGCCTGGGCTTTGTGCGCTTCCTTGGCCTGGTGCAGTTGCTCCACCAAAAGCTGTTGCTGGGACTGGAGCTCTTGAAGCCACTCCGTCACCGCCGGGACCGCGGATGCCGGCAGCACCTCTGGAAACAGCCGTGGATGATAACCATAACTGGCCTGGAGCGGGGTCTGCTGGGTGGACGCATTCACCGCGTTGTTATAGGCGAACTCCGCCAATGCCAGGTGGTCGACCCAGTCATCCTGCTGGTAGCTGCAGTAACACCGGAGGTACTGCTCCAGCACCGCGTTCGCCCGTTCCGTCTGGCCATCGGTCTGTGGGTGGTAGGCTGACGAGAGGCAGACCTCTGTCCCGAGGGTCTGGTGTAATGCTCGCCAGAACCGGGATGTGAACTGAACGCCCCGGTCGGACACCACGCGCTCAGGTAGTCCATGCAGGCGGAAGACATGCTGAAGGTACAGCTGAGCAGTTTCCTTGGCTGTGGGTACAGATGGACAGGGAGCGCAGTGCACCATCTTGGTGAAATGGTCGGAGAAAACCAGAAGGCAGGTACAGCCACGAGGCGAGGGTAAGTCCACTACAAAGTCCAACGAAACCGTGTGCCAGGGGCGCGGTGGAACTGGCAATGGCTGAAGTAGGCCGGGGGGTCGCCCGGTAGGTCCCTTGGCGCGCCGGCAGACATCACAACCAGCAACGTAGCGAGCCACGTCAGCCTTCAGGCGGGGCCACCAAAACTCTCGACTGACCAGATGGGTGGTCCGATACCGTCCAAAGTGCCCCGCTGCTGGGGCATCATGGGCCATCCGGAGAACCTCCAGCCGTAGTGGCCCTGGCGGGATGTACAGACGACCGTGGTGCAGCAGAAGGCCCTGATGCAGGACCAGCCCCGGATACTGTGGGCTGGACCCTTCAGCCAGCTCCCGGAGTCGTTCCTGGGCCCAGCGTCGACCCGCTGCTGTTCCCGCACCCGAACCTGCAGTGGCTGCGCCTCCTGGGTGGCCAGGAATGCAGCCGGAGGTAGGATCGTGGTGGGCTCTGCTTGCTGTACCGTGTCTGCGTTGTCTTCGGGTTTCCGGGACAGGGCATCCGCCTTCTGATTCTGAGAGCTAGGGATGTAGCGGATCCGGAACTGGAACCGGGCAAAGAACAACGCCCACCGGATCTGTCTTTGGTTCAGCTTGCGGGTGGTCTGGAGGTACTCCAGGTTCCGGTGGTCGGTTCTCACCTCCACCGGATGTCGTGCCCCCTCAAGATGGTGGCGCCAGACCTCAAAGGCTACCTTGATGGCCAGTAGTTCCCGCTCCCACACAGTATAGTTACGCTCCGCTGGTAGGAGCTGGCGAGAATAGAAGGCACAGGGTAAGAGTGGCGCTTCAGGACCAATCTGTTGAGACAAGACGGCACCGAGAGCCGTACTGGAAGCGTCGGTCTCCACCACAAAGGGTCGAGAGGGGTCAGGATGTTGTAAGATTGGTGCCCTCTGGAAACAGGCCTTCAACCCCTGAAACGCCTCCTCTGCCTCCTTGTCCCAGGAAAGCGCCCACTTAGCGCGCAGTAGCCGCGTCAACGGGGTGGTGCGATGAGCATAATCAGCGATGAAGGTCCGGTAGTAATTGGCGAACCCCAGGAAGCGCTGCAGGTCCTTGCGGTTCCGGGGTGCCGCCCATTCTTGAACCGCTGTCACCTTCCCGGGTCCATTTGCACCCCATCTGGAGAGAGCCGGTGACCAAGGAAGTCCACAGTCCGCTGATGGAACTCGCACTTGCTGAGCTTTGCGTACAACCGGTGCTCACGCAAGCGCTGCAGCACGGTCCGGACATGTCCCTCATGGCAAGCCGGGTCACGGGAGTAAATCAGTATGTCATCCAAATACACCACCACGTACTTGTCTAACAAGTCCTGAAACACGTGGTTGATGTAGCGTTGAAACACAGCAGGCGCGTTGCACAAACCGAAAGGCATAACCAAATATTCGAACTGCCCGTACCGGGTCCCAAACGCTGTCTTCCACTCATCCCGGCTCGGATCCGAATCAAGTTGTAGGCCCCCCGGAGGTCCAGCTTGGTGAACACCTGTGCCCCTTGCACCCGCTCCAGCAGTTCCGAGATAAGGGGCAAGGGGTACCGGTCTGGGACGGTAATTTTGTTCAGGGCTCGGTAATCATGGCAAGGGCGGAGTTCCCCACATTTCTTCTTAGCAAAGCACTGGTGCCGCGGTAGGCGAGGTGGAAGGCCTAATGAACCCACGCTCCAGGTTCTTGCGCAAGAAGTCCTGCAAAGCCTCGCGCTCTGGCTCTGTTAGGGAATATAAGCGACTCACTGGTAAAGGCGCTCCGGGTTGGAGGTCTATGCCGCAGTCAAAAGGCCGATGTGGCGGCAGCTGGTCTGCCCCCCGTTCCTCGAACACGTCCTGGTAGTCCTGGTACACGGCTGGGAGCGTGGGTGCTGCCTCCTCTGAGGGCGCGGCCGCCAGCCAACCAGATGCAGCATGGCAACATGGGTCAGGGAAGTGCACGGTCCGTTTGACCCAGTCAATCTGAACGTTGTGGGCTTCCAGCCAGTCCATCCCGAGCACCAGGGAAGCGGGGCATAGAGGCAATGTCCAAAGTCCGCAACTCCCGGTGCTGCTGGAGACACAGGACCAAGGGCTGGGTCTCCTGAGTAACGGCACCTGAACGCAGAAGTCGTCCGTCAATCGCTTCCACCTGGACCGGTACTGGCTTGTTCCGCAGTGGCACCTGATGATGGGCGGCAAAAGCAGCGTCCATATAGGAGCGGGTTGCCCCTGAATCTACCAAAGCATGGGTGAGGATCCAGGGCCCACCTGGAGGGTATAAACGTACTGAAACCATAAGATGTTGCAAGTCCATTGGTGCGGGCCCATTCTGTACGGTTTGGGACCCCCGGTAGCTAGGGCCATCAGCTACTGGGGTTGGCGGTTTCCCTGCGGCTGGCGTTTCTCAGGGCAGGACCGAGCGAAGTGTCCACTTCCGCCACAGTAAAGACAGAGATTTCCCTCCCGACGCCGCGCCTTCTCTGCGGGGGAAGGCGTGGCCGCACTGCCCCGAGCTGCATAGGCTCCTCCGTTAAATCAGTTGTGACCGTGGGGCTGCCGGAAAAAGCTGGTGCCGTGAACTGGAAGTGTCGGCGACCCGGGCCTGACGACGATCCTCCAACCGGTCGTCTATTTGTAGACTCCGTTGAATGAGAGTGTCCAGCGTGGTGGGGCGTTCCATTGTGGCCAACTGGTCCAGTACCTCGTCCGAAAGCCCTTCGAGATACTGGTCCCGCAGTGCCGAGTCATTCCAGGCCAAGTCCTGTGCCAACAGCCGAAACTCCGTGGTATATGTGGCCACCGTGGACTTGCCCTGTTTCACACGCCCGAATCGCCCGGTTGGCTTGACTCTCTTTCTGGGGGTTGCCGAGCGCGGCCTCCAAACGATTGCAAAACCCCGTATAGTCTGCCAGCAAGGGGAGTCTTGCCTGAGTAACGGCAACGCCCACTTGGCCGCCTGGTCCTTTAACAAACTAATCAAAAAGTGCACCTTGGTGCGGTCGTCAGGAAAGTTCCGGGCTCGCCCCTGAATATACAGCTTGGCCTGGGCCAGGAACATGGGAAAGCTGGCCGGGGCTCCATCAAATTTCTCAGGCAAAGCCACTGGGTACTTGCCCGGAGCCGGGCGTCGGCCCCAGGAGCCGGTAGGGCTTCCAAGCGTTGCTGAAGTGCCACAACCGCGTCGCTGAGCTGCTGCACGGTGTGATTCAAGGCCTGGTTCTCCTGGGCCAAAGCCACCAGTGCAGCCGCCTGTTCAGCCATGGCCTCTGGCTCTTCCCGAACGCACCCCTACGAAGGGGAAGTGCGGGTGTGGCGGGAGCAAACTGTGCTGGTCCCAGGGTAAGGTACCTTGGGTGTAGCAGAGTCCACACGAAGAGGGGCAAGGTCCGAGGCAGAGAGCCGGGCGGGGAACAGGAATGCTGGAACAGGAGGCTGTGCAGGGAACAGGAACACCGGATGGTCGGGAACAGGAGGCCGAGCAGGGAACAGGAGTACCGGATAGTCAGGAACAGGAAGCCGAGCAGGGAACAGGAGTACCGGATAGTCAGGAACAGGAAGCCGAGCAGGGAACAGGAGCACAGGAAGGTCCGAAGCCAACAACGACGTTGCTCCCGCAACCTGGGGCCGGGCTGACTGGGCTTTATCCTCTTCTAAGGCCAGGGGCGGTCCCGGTCCCCAGGAGCCCCGCCTCCTCTGGCCTTAAGGCGAGCACTCCTCCTGGGGGCAACCAGTTCCCTTCGCCTCTCTGCCCTAAGCCTCTGCAGATCAGGAGAGGCCGAAGGGTTACTGGGCCCTGGAGGAGGCTCACCTGTGGCCACTGAGTCATCAAGCCCCTCTGGGGCCAGAAGGGCTTCACCTGGGGCCAGCTCCTGATGCACTGCCACAGGTGCAGGCTCTTCAGCATCTAGGCCTTGCCCCAGTTCAGCCGGCCCTGGAGGCGGGGACTCCTGTGCAGGCTGGGATTCCTCTGTTTCATCCTCCGAATCGGAATCCCAGGCCATCACACTTCCTCTGCATGTGACTAGAGGTGGGTGTGGCCTCATCTGTGCAGGTAACGACAAAAGCACAGGGCAGGGCAGCCATCTCTCTCTTTGACTACATCCATTGAAGAAGCAATATCTACTTAGCCAAAGATGCTCTCTTGGCTTCCAGCCAAGAGTGGACAAAGGGACTGTCTTCTTATGGGATAGTTTCTAGGTATATGTTACTTTTCTAAACTATGTCTGCCTTCTGGGATCCTATTGTGAATAGAATGATGTGTGAGTAAACCTTTTTATACTTCTATAGAAGACTGTGTCGTGTCTTATCTTTTATGAGGGAATAAGAGGAAACAGTCATTATAGAGGCTTTAGCAAGCCTGAGCAAATGCATCCGCTGCAAGTTTAAAAAGGGGAATGTTACTCTGCTAAATTGTTGAACTTGTTAACACAAGTTGGAAAAGGATATAATCAAACAATATATCCCCTCCTGCATCCCTGAACATTCAAAGAGAATACTTTCACATTTGCCTGAGTGAATGGACGCCCCCAGGAAAAGCAAGGATCGCCTGCATCAACATTTAATTTTCTCACAATTGAACGGCTAGGTCAATAGAATTCATTGCCTCTAGACGCGATGACCAGCCTTAAGGACTGTCACCGTGGATTGCATATGGGAGACAGTCCATATATGTAGGTAGGAGTGACAGAGTTCCTTATGGTGAAGACAAACCCTACACATATATAACTTGCATGCATCTAAGCTTTTATGCTAGTTGCACATAGGAGGTGGGAAGAGCAGACAATCCTGTTCCCCCTCTAGGTACATTTGCTACACAAGCATCTAGCACATATAGCCTTAAGAAGCTTTTTAAAAAGAGATAAATCCATAGTGGGGGAGGCATCAGTCCTGATAACCCCATGTACAGAGATCCTACGCTTCTTTGTGGTCTGGAGGTGGCTCAGTTGGTTAGAGCATGGTGCTGATAATGCCAAGGTCATGAGTTCGATTCCCGTATGGGACAGCTGCATATTCCTGCATTGCAGGAGATTGAACTAGATGACCCACAAGGCCCTTTCTAACTCTAAAGTTCTCTGATTCTGTGATTTTAATGTTGTTGCCTTTAAGGCCTCCTCCCTAAGTTTCTCCAAAGAATTTGGCTTGCCACTGTTGGAAACAGGATACTGGGCTTTACGGACCTTTGAGTTGGATGCAGTGTCTTTCGGGGTTTATCTCATAGAATTTCCCTGTTCTTCAAAAGTGTTGGAAAATGTATTTGTTTGTAAAAAATGGGTATACTTAGAAATTAACTTCCAGGGTTTATAGAACGACTCCAAGTAAAGTATCCTGAAAAATGACCATCCATTCTCCCCTCCGGAGATCATTAGTAAGGTATTTGTTTGATGGAGCCACACACTTACCTATCAAAAATCCCCCACATAACTAAAACGGCAACACTCTCAAACAAGAGGGAGGTATATCAGCAGGCTTGGGGGAATCCTGAGGTCTGCAGAAGCACAAAAAAACATGTTGGGGAAAAGTTGGAGGAAGCCCCCAAACAGTTCACTAAGGACTGAGCATGCTCAGTGGGCATGGAATATTCACTGCCTGTTGTTGTTGGTAGGACAGAAACATTGGGTGAGGAAGGGACTAGAAGGAGTCTCTTGCATGGCCGGCTGGCATCTCAAATGGAATTTCTTGCAGTTTCCACTTGTTAAGATACTAGACATGCTAAACACATTACAGTGGTGCCTCGCAAGATGAAATTAATTCGTTCTGTGAGTTTTTTCGTCTTGCGAATTTTTCGTCTTGTGAAGCATGGTTTCCCAAAGTCTTCAAAATCACCAAAGTCTTCAAAAACCTCAAAAAAGGCTACCACACCGCGTGCTATGAGTTGCTCCTCGAAGTCACCCTGGGTATTAACGGTTTTAAGAAAAAGGAAACAAACTTGCAAGACGTTTTCGTTTTTCGTCTTGCGAAGCAAGCCCATAGGGAAATTCGTCTTGCGAAGCAACTAAAAAAACGAAAAACTCTTTCGTCTTGCGAGTTTTTCGTCTTGCGAGGTACCACTGTATATGGCACATCTTTTTCTCTGTGAATGAGTATATGCACTTTCTGAGTGAGCAGAAAGAAGAAATGGAAATGGGAAGGAGATGGCAAGCATCTTTCAATAAGGATAGGTAATAGTTCATCTCCACTGAAGAACAGAGATATTATGCACATTTCATTTACTCTGGCACTCATAAGCATGGGTAGGCAAACTAAGGCCCGGGGGCCGGATGCGGCGCAATCGCCTTCTAAATCCGGCCCATGGACGGTCCGGGAATCAGCCTGTTTTTACATGAGTAGAATGTGTCCTTTTATTTAAAATGCATCTCTGGGTCTGGCCCCCCACAAGGTCTGAGGGACAGTGGACCAGCCCCCTGCTGAAAAAGTTTGCTGACCCCTGCTCATTGCTAAAAGTGTGAAATGCAAGGTATAGCATTGTGGGTACTGTGAAGAGGAACCTGTATACAGATTTAAAATCAGATCTGCAGCCCTGACCTTGAGAACAAATCCGTTCCAGGAAACTGTTACATCAAAAAGTGAAGGTTGTCGTAACCGTGTCCTTCCTGACTGGGCTGAGCAACGGAACATAACTTACATTCTTATGGACATTGTCTCATCTGTCACTGTTTCCAACAGAAATAACAATGGCTTCTGCTCATCACAGGATGACAACGCAACACATCCAAAAAAATTTACTGCTAGGATCTGCTTGCCGTTCCTGCCTAGAAGCCACACTTTAAAGGTATCAGACAGGAACCCAAAACACCCCACCACCCAACGCTTGCAAAGAGTCAAAATGTCGGAAGCAAAGCAACACAATTGTTGACATTAATTGCTCATTATTCATTAGCAGCCTCCTTAGTCGCTCTCGATATTCAGGAGAGCAGATAATCCAGATAATTTTGATTTGAGGGGGTGGGCAGGGAAATCACCTAACTGCAACGGCGGAGAGAAACCATAATAAAAGATTCATAGGATTTTATATATGTATAAATATAGGACTCTCATTTTCAAGAGGCATCAAAGCAGGCTGCAGCTGTTGTTATGTAAAGGCGAGAGTGCGTCGCCTCAGACCGTTTGCTGGTGTCAGTTTGTGTTTGGCGTTACTGAAATTACACCAGGCCAACCCCCACGCTTGGACCTCTTAGGCCTTCTGAATTTCTGCCGGGGACTGTGCGGCTTCATGGATGGGGGTGTCCTCCTGCTGTTTCTCAAGGTAGCCCGTCTTTGGTGGGCTGAGAGGCCTTTTCTCCCCGGAGGGATGGCTCACATCCCCTTCCCCTGCCTGAGAAATCCCTGAACCCCCCTCCTGTCCTTTCTCCGGGGCTCCGGGATCTGTTTTGGCTCCTGTGCCGCTATCTGCTTCTGATAAGCGTAGGTTGGAGTCTGGGGGCATCTCTGGGGGATCTGGAAGGTGGAGGCCGGCTGAAGTCATGCAACTTTCCGCAGAGTCCCCTTTCTCTGCTTTTGGCTGTTCCAGCATCTCAGGTCCCCCAGCGCCCGGCTGGGTTCTGGTCCCCTCAGGAACCGACTCCCCCTTCTCCGGTTTTATCTTCGTCCACACAAAAGCGCCGCGTTTCTGGAAAGGGAAACAAGGTTGATGTTAAGCAGGGGGACTTCGGCGGTGAGGAGATGCAGCTGTGAGCTGAATTCATTTATTAGCTCAAGCGCTGGCTGGTCTCTCTCTCTCAGGCCTCTCCTCTGGCCAACGGGGGCTGGGATGTAGCTGGGAGCGAAAAAGAACGGCTGAGCCATCATCTTGCCTGCTTTGCAAAACAAGGAAAGGCGTCGGGGGGAAAGCAACAGGTGAAAACGAAGGAGACAAGACCTTGCCAATGCCATCCCTTTTCCTGCCCGCCCAGTTCTGCTTTTTTTATTTGAAAATGGCTACGGTGCTCTTGCAAACTGGCATTTTCTTTTCCGCAGGGCAGTGCCTATCCCCGTCAAATTTTATTTCTTGCCACAAGGGTTGCTATGGATACAATTGCAAACCCCTGGCTGATGCAGGCCAAAGATTTATGAGCTCTTGCCAAATGACTTTGGCCATTAAGGGTTGCATGAGAAGAATAGGATTAATTTGATTTTATATATATAAAAGCGGGGGTGGGAGACAACAACAAGCCAAAGTGAAACAAACAGGGCTCTGTTGTGTTGCAGCATGTCTCCGAGAACAAGCTTCTCCATTTGGAAACCTGATTCAGTGGGAATCTCTCTCTTCTCCAGCGTTAATCCTGATTCATCCCATAACCATTTCTTGGTTACCAACGTAGAAGTCCACTCAGTACAGAAGCACTTGACAGACAATGTCAAACAGACAAAAATAATTATGTTAAGGCATGGACGGACATTTAAAAAGATATGCTAGGATGGGAGAAATTAAAATTGTCTCTACTGGGTCAAATTTTTGTGATAAAATGTGAATATATTGCCCAGAATGATGTTTTTGTTCCAAACAATGTCTGTCATAGCTAATGACTTACCATTCAGACAATGGCAAAATAAAAAAAATCAAGTTTTTATGGCAAGGGAAAAAACACCACGTGTTAAAGTATTACAAGATGCAAAGGAAAGGGGAGGATTGGCATACCAACGTAAAATTGTACTTTGCAGCCTGTTGCTTAATGTTAATGAAGGAGTTGAGAAATGAGTGGTTCCTGGAAATCGGACATGACTGGATGGAATGGGTATTTGTGGTACGACAAAATTAATGTGGACTTTAAAACCAGCATCTTTTGATAAAAGCAGAAGACAGCCTGTCAATTTTCACGTATCTCCAAATTAAAGAAAGTTTGGTACTGGGAGATACCAAGGAATAATCAAAATTACCAGAAACCGGGTGGCTTTTCAAATAGGCAATGTTTGCTCTAAAATCAAATTACTAAATTAAAATTTCACTGGAATTAACGTCCCAAAGAAGTTTTTGAAAGGCAGCTCCTACTAGACTGAAGATATTGAAATTGAGTGGCCCTGGCCGTGGGGCTTGGGGGAGGTCTAGATCCAGCCCTTTGGCAATCTCCAGCTCTGCAAACCCCTGCTTCAGAGAATCTCAGCGGAAGTTTAATTTCTTATCGGACTTCATACCTTCCCTGGGGGTTGCTTACAACCATAATTGCAGCAGTGATGTAGCTGGGACACTGGAGGAGCCTCAGTCCTAGGCATACTGAGGGATAATAATTCTTACACTTAGCAAACCATGTCTGTAGTGTTGGAAGACTCCTCAAGAGTCATCGTAACCTGTATTTTAAATTGGTGTTGTTGCTGCTGCTGCTGTTTTTGCCCCCTATTACGTTTTTACTATGATTTTATTGGTGTTAGCCACCCTGAGCCCGGCTCTGGCCGGGGAGGGTGGGGTATAAATAAAATTTTTTATTATTATTATTATTATTATTATTATTATTATTATTATCATCATCATCAACATCATCATCATCTACTCCAACATCCTGTAATGCAGGAATCAACAGGTAATACTAAGGTGCCACACACACAAGGTTCCAATTTTAATAATAATAGTAGTAGTAGTAGTAGTAGTAGTAGTAATTCACTATTTATACCCCATCCATCTGGTTGGGTTTCCTCAGCCACTTTGGGCGGCTCCCAGCAGAATATTAAAAACACGATAAAACATCAAACGTTAGAAACTTCCCTAAACAGGGCTGCCTTCAGATGTCTTTTAAAGATAAGATAGCTACTTATTTCCTTCACATCTGAAAGGAGGGCGTTCCACAGGGTGGGCGCCACTACCGAGAAGGCCCTCTGCCTGGTTCCCTGTAACTTCACTTCTCGCAGTGAGGGAACCGCCAGAAGGCCCTCAGAGCTGGACCGCAGTGTCCAGGCTGAACAATGGGGGTGGAGATGCTCCTTCAGGTATACTGGGCTGAGACCGTTTAGGGCTTTAAAGGGACTACATCAGGACCACAGCATGTGGGAAGGGGGAAGTTTAACAACAACAAAAAACTCTTCCTCCTGCACTGAATTTAGTCTTTGAGGTGGAGGGTGCTAGGAAGTCCTTGGTCCCTCACATCACAGTGGTAATAATAATAATAATAATAATAATAATAATAATAATAATAATAATAATACATTTTTATTTATACCCTGCCCTTCCCAGTTCAAAAACCTGGCTCAGGGCAGCTAACAACAAATTTCAAAAACTTAATTGTAAAAGCAGAATAAAATACAGTATAAAAACATGAATAACAATAAAATTCAAAATTCAGAAATCAATTTAGGGGAAATAAGCATTAGATCATCCCCAGGGCTAGCTGGCTGAATTGGTCCTACTTGGGCCAGCGAGGAAGCCAGGGGAGAATTAGCTGTGGAGTCTCAGAGTGGATTATCTTCATAAAAAGGGAGGGGGAGGGAAGAGAAGGGAAATAAAAGATCAGGTTGAATTCAAATTAAAGGCCAGGCGGAATAGCTCTGTCTTACAGGCCCGATGGAAGGAGGTTAAATCCTGCAGGGCCCTGGTCTTATGGGACAGAGCATTCCACCAGGTCGGAGCCATCACTGAAAAGGCCCTGGCCCTGGTAGAGGATAATCTGACTTTCTTAGGGCCCGGGACCTCTAAACTATGGTTATTCATGGACCTTAAGGTCCTCTGCAGGGCATACCAGGAGAGGTGGTCCCGTAAATATGAGGGCCCTAAGCCACAAAGGGCTTTAAAGGTCAAGACCAGCACCTGCCCACCTCTTGCCTTCTGTTACAACATCCCAGGATCTTCTTTGTAAGGCAACCAAGTCGCAAAAAAGACATTGCCCTGTCTTTCTAAGGCCATCGGGCTGGTTTGACAGCAGGCATGCCGTTTGCAAATACCCAAAGCCGCTGACTGCAACGCACGCAATGACGTTCCCTAGTCCCAGAACAATGTGCTGGAGGCCTTAGGGGTAAACACATCCTTCTGGCTTCCTGCTGAATGTCCAGAGCACAGGATGCACATGGCCTTACCTTCCCTTGATAGGGGATGCAGGGGGTGGCTCTGGCATTGTAGTCGTATTTGAAAGTGATCTGCTCTTGGAAAATTCTCGGAAGGCGGCCCGGCAATGGAGGAGCTGCAAGTGGAACTGCGACAGAAAATGCACAGTATAGTCTTGCTTCCAGGTGGTTTGCATGGCTACATTGCATGCGGGAGACAGGAACACAGGAATCTGCCTTATAGTGAGTTGGACCACTGTGTGATGGCCTGGGATTCGGACTCGGATGCTGAACCTGAGGGATCCCAGCCTGCACAGGATTCCCCGCCTCCAGAACCAGCTGAGCCAGGGCTGGGGCTTGAACCTGAAGGGTCCTCACCTGTGCTGGATCCTCAGGTACAGGCATCAGCTGAGTCTGCTCTGGCCCCTGAGGTGATGGAGGACCCATTGCCTGCAGGTGCTCCACTCTCAGCCCTGTCAGAGGAAGCTGAGGTTGCCTCTGGGTCCGGTAACCCTCCAGCCTCTCCTGAGCTGCAGAGGCTCAGGGCAGAGAGGCGGAGGGAACTAAGTTCCCACAGGAGGAGTGCTCGCCTCCAGGCCAGGAGAGGCCGAGTCACTTGTGGACAGGGGCTGCCCTATGCCTCAGGGCAGATAAAAGCCAGCCAGCCCCAGTCCCAAGTTGCGGGAGCAACGCTGTCGGTAGCCTGTTCCTGTCTGCACCCTGTCCTGCTTCTCTGCCGGAGCTCCTGACTTCACCCGACTCCCTGCCCTACACCCAGCTTCAGCTACTACAGACTGCCTCCACGTTGCACCTTTGACCACGGACCGGTCTCACGGACCGGCCTCACGGTTATCCCTCGGGACCAGCACACACTGGTTCATCAAGCTTAGTATTGTCTACACCAGCCTTTCTCAACCTGTGGTTCCCCAGATGTTGTTGAACTACAACTTCCATCACCCCTAGCTAGCAAGGCCAGAGCTCAGGGATTGTGGGAATTGTAGTCCAACAGCATCTGGGGACCCTCAGGTTGAGAACCACTGGTCTACACGGAATGGTAGCATCTCAGCAGGGTTTCAGAGAAGGGTTCTCTCCAAGCCCTACATAGAGTTGGCAGGGACTGAACCTGGGACCTTCTGTATGCAAAACAGATGCTCTACCCCTGAGCTACGCCACTTTCCTGATCTGTCCCAGGTGAATAATAATAATAATAATAATAATAATAATAATAAATTTATTACTTATACCCCATCCATCTGGTCAGGTTGCCCCAGCCACTCTGGGAGGCTTCCAGCACATATAAAAATATAATAAAACGGCAAACATTAAAAACTTCCCGATACAGGGCTGCCTTCAGATGCCTTCTAAAAGTCATGTAGTCTTTATCTCCTTGACATCTGATGGGAGGACGTTCCACATGGCAGGTGCCACTACCGAGAAGGCCCTCTGCCTGGGTCCCTGTAATTTCACTTCCAGCAGTGATGGAACTGCTAGAAGGCCCTCGGAGTTCAGCAGGGCTGATGTATTTTATTAAACAACAACATTTAAGAAATGGTAAGGTTTCATCTTACTGAATTTCTGCGATATTAGATAACTGCAATGGGAGATAACCTCTTAGATAACTTGTTGAGGCTTCTGTTGTTCCACATTATACAACACCCTCACAACACGCATCTGAAGGCTCCCTGCATCACAGCATTTCTGGCTAGAAGCCTGAAAAAAAAGTCTCCACCGTTCAGAACTGGTCCACAGACACAGTTTCTTTTGTGGCTCAGTAGGTCAAAGCGAGGCTGGATAAACAACTGTCAGGAGTGGCTTAAGAGCCGGACTAGCAAATCCGGCTACAATGCATTCACGTTCGGCTTGGTGACCCAGGATGTCCTTTTCAGCCCCTGCGAAGCTACACTAATGCCCAGGGAAAGGTTAGCTGTCGGTTGTTTCAAAGAATGCAAAGCCCAAATGCTGACCTATACATTCAAAGCATTGTCTCCAGCTTCTATGAGAAATCTGGCTTGCAGGAGCCACGATGGATTTCTGCAGAATATTTCTTTGTGTGTGCATATAGCCTTTTAGGGACCTGTTTTGCCGAGACGCTGTCCCCTTGCCTTGAAGAGGACCAGCCCAAATCCAGACAAACAGCTGGCTCCATGTTGGCAATCCAACAAACACGCTCACATATGGAAGCTATCCTCGCCGCCGCCCTTGTAAACATGGAAGTGTGACTGGAGTTGTCATGCTCTGGCTATGTGCTGCTTGCTATAGCTCAGCCATCCGTCATCGTTCGCAAACAAGCTGAATAGCTATTGTGGGGCTGAATTATTGCGGAGAAGTTGACTAAAGGCAGAACCGAAGGTTCTCCTGGGAGGAGAAGCAGACGGAAATACCGTGTTTATGTGAATCTAATGCCCCATCTTAAAAAGCAGAGACATCACCTTGCCAACAAAGGTCCGTATAGTTAAAGCTATGGTTTTCCCAGTAGTGATGTAGGGAAGTGAGAGCTGGACCATAAAGAAGGCTGATCGCCGAAGAATTGATGCTCTTGAATTATGGTGCTGGAGGAGACTCTTGAGAGTCCCATGGACTGCAAGAAGATCAAACCTATCCATTCTGAAGGAAATCAGCCCTGTGTGCTCATTGGAATGACAGATCCTGAAGCTGAGGCTCCAATACTTTGGCCACCTCATGAGAAGAGAAGACTCCCTGGAAAAGACCCTGATGTTGGGAAAGATGGAGGACACAAGGAGAAGGGGACAAAAGAGAATGAGAAGGCTGGACAGTGTTCTCGAAGCTACCAGCATGAGTCTGACCAAACTGCGGGAGGCAGTGGAAGACAGAAGTGCCTGGCGTGCTCTGGTCCAGGGGGTCACGAAGAGTCGGACACGACTAAACGACTAAACAACAACAACAACAACAATGCCCCATCAGATCTAATGCACACCTCAATTTTCAAGACCTTGAAACCAAAAAAGCATTTGCTGGAGAATGTAAATGTGCCACCAAATCTAATGTGCACTCTAATTTTTGCGGTGTAATTTGGCCAAAAAAGGTGCACATTACATTCAAGTAAATACAGTACCTTACATCACTTTTTTTTAAAAAAGGGTTTTGCCAATCAATGGGAAACGAAGGCCACAAGTGATGGCTTCTGCAGACTGAATCGCCAAAGTCAGCAGAACTTGCTTAAATTAATACTGCCATAAAGACTCTAATCCAAGATCTAAGGACAAGGAAAAACCTGCAAGCTAACATTGCAGCCTGATTGGGGGGGGGAATGGGACAGAAAGCCCCCAAACTGGGAGCTACTGTTCTTTGTGTTTCATCAATCGAACTGAACTGAAAGGTGCCTATTGCTTGTATGATCAGGAGAAGGTGATTTAAGTGGAGACTGAGAATGGAAGAGTTTAAGGCACTGGAATAGGATCGTTGTTGCCTAGGGTGTAGAAACTCATTTCTGCTACCATCTCTCTGGCTGCAGGCTTCTGCAGCACTGTACACAGAGCTGACGATGGGACATGTGTGCAGATAATGGGGAACAAAGCCAACACCAAAATTTGGTGCTCCCACCACACCTCTCGCCTCCCATTGCTCGCAATTGTTGCGGCACCCCCACAGTGGCCTCTTGGCTCAGCACCCAGTGTAGGCGAACGGTCGCACTCCTGCAAATCTGCCTCTGCTGTGTAATACCACTATCACGAATCAGCTTGAAACCGGAATTCACAGGAGGTGGTTGAAGCTGAGAATTAGGAATCAATACATGTTAGGTCAGCGAAATGTGCCCAGATTTTGGAGCCATCACTCAATGGCGGAGCATGTGGTCCGCCTGAAGGTGGCAAAAGGTTCAATAACAGTTCAGTAGCAGCCACGAGGGAGCCTGATTTTCTAAGCAAATGTACTACTGCAGCAATCTCCGTTTCCGTCAAGCAACACTTGACATCTGTTGGCTGTTTCCGACTACACTTGTGCATGCAACAGGTCATAGTTTCGACCACATCACATCAGCCAAACTGATAGAGACCACCTCTCTGCAACTGAACCAACCCAGAACCTGCAATCATCACCTGAGGGCTTTCTTCGTTTGCCTGCTGCACGTGAGGTCCAGAGGGCAGCAACACAAGAACAGGTCTTTTCTGTGGTGGTTCCCCATTTGTGCAATGCTCTCCCCAGGGAGGCTCGCCTGGCGCCTTCACTAAATATCTTTAGGTGCCAGGCAAAAACATCTCTCTTCTCCCAGGCCTTTGGCTTGTCTGGACATTCTATGGCCTTTGAAATGTGTTCATGGGAGAGGGGTTATTGGCTTGCTTTTGTTTCATTGTGGATTTTCCAATCTCATTTTGTATTTTTTATATTGCGAACCACCCTGTCATCTTGGCAATGAAGGGCGGCACACAGATTTAATAAAGCATAATGCTTTTGCCAAAGAATTGATTATTGAAATAATAATTTTTCACCGAAGAATTGATGCTTTTGAATTATGGTGTTGGAGGAGACTCTTGAGAGTCCCATGGACTGCAAGAAGATCAAACGCATCCATTCTTAAGGAAATTAGCCCTGAGTGCTCACTGGAAGGACAGGTCGTGAAGCTGAGGCTCCAATACTTTGGCCACCTCAGGAGAAGAGAAGACTCCCTGGAAAAGACCCTGATGTTGGAAAAGATGGAGGGCACAAGGAGAAGGGGAAAACAGAGGACGAGATGGTTGGACAGTGTTCTCGAAGCTACCAGCATGAGTTTGACCAAACTGCGGGAGGCAGTGGAAGACAGGAGTGCCTGGCGTGCTCTGGTCCATGGGGTCACAAAGAGTCGGCCACGACTAAACGACTAAACAACAACAACAGAAGCAGAAGCTGAACCACCTTTATATTACTTGTCTAGTTTTGGTGGAAAGAGAGAAGGGAAGGGAAGGGAAGCTTTCCCCTAAAAGTCTTACCTATTCCACGCGAAGGTTGCCGCTTATTGCCGAACTTAAGGGGCCGAATCAATCTACAGGCTGGCTTCTGGAAATGACTTCTTTGAGTGCTCTGCTTGTCGTAAGGTGGTTTAGGGCATGGCACAACAAAGGGTTCGCTGCTTGGCCACCAATGATCCTTTGCAGGGAACATAAATTAATTTGTCAACAACTAGCCTATAGAGTTGCCATTATTTATACTTTCCAAGTTTATACATTTCATTAATTTTACAATCAATTTAACATTTCAAAATCTGACTTCCTGCCCCCTCTTTCTGCGGTTCCTTAAATGTATGTTTTTTAATATCTTCTGCATATCCAAATTCATTTAACTTGCTCCTTTCATTATCTACTGTGAATATATGCTCTTGTGAAACTGCAGGTTATTACAATAATCCTGCTAATGTTTTTATCTGTTTACAATTTATCTGTAAATATTCAATAAACCATTTCCATTCTATTATAAAAAGTTTGCTATCTTTATTTCTTATTCTTCCGGTAAGTTTCGCCATTTCTGCATATTCCATAAGTTTTTGTATCCATTCTTCCTTTACCGGGACTTCCGCTCCTTTTCACATTTGTGCAAGTAGCATTCTTGCTGCTGTAGTAGCACACATAAATAAATTTCTATACAATTTAGGTAGTTCTGCTCCTATAATTCCCAAAATTCTCCCCCCGCCCCTTCTGACGAAATCATGCTTTGGTGCATGGGTGGGGAACCTTCTTCAGACCAAGGGTCACTTTGCCTCATGGGCAAGCTTCCAGGGGCCGCATAGCAATGGCAGGTGGCTCTAAAAGCAAATGGATGTGCCAGTTACCTTCCTGCAGAAATTTGTGGTTCTTGTACACAAAAACCGGACTGTCTTGCCAGAGTGGTGCATGTTCTAGTTATCTCCCGCTTGGACTACTGCAATGCGCTCTATGTGGGGATACCTTTAAAGGTGACCTGGAAACTGCAATTAATCCAGAATGCGGAAGCTAGACTGGTGACTGGGAGCGGCCGCCGAGACCACATAACACCAGTCCTGAGAGATCTGCATTGGCTCCCAGTACATTTCCGAGCACAATTCAAAGTGTTGGTGCTGACCTTTAAAGCCCTAAACGGCCTCGGCCCAGTATACCTGAAGGAGCGTCTCCACCCCCATCGTTCTGCCTGGACACTGAGATCCAGCGCCGAGGGCCTTCTGGTGGTTCCCTCATTGCGAGAAGTGAGGTTGCAGGGAACCAGACAGAGGTAGTGGCGCCCGCCCTGTGGAACGCCCTCCCTTCAGATGTGAAGGAAATAAGTAGCTATCTTATCTTTAAAAGACATCTGAAGGCAGCCCTGTTTAGGGAAGCTTTTAATATTTAATGCTGTATTGTTTTTAACACTCGATTGGAAGCCGCCCAGAGTGGCTGGGGAAACTCAGCCAGATGGGCGGGGTATAAATAAAAAATTATTATTATTATTATTAATGCAAAAGATATTTGAGGGTACAGGGCTGGACCAGGCAAAACGTATTTGAGGGTACAGGGCAGGACCAGTGAGGGTTGTGGCCTGGGGAGAGTCCTGAGGGCCAGACCGAGAAACCAAGAGGGCTACATTTGGCCCTCAGGCCTAAGATTCCCCAGTCTGGGTTTAGCACTGTGGCTAAACTGGACCACGATCTCACTTTCACTAAGCCATCCTCACCTGCTTTGATTTTGTGCTGTCTGTGTCCATATACAATATTGGCTTATTTAAAAACTTGGTATTCAGCTTAATGCATTTTGCGTGTATCGGCTGAGGGTTATTACGGCACTCCAGCTTATACTGCTGTTCCTTTGGCGTATGTTCCTCTTCGGTTTTAGCTAGCACCTTATTCCTTTCTGGGAACTCGAGATTAAGTACTCTGTAGGAATCTGGGCTGAAAAAAATATGAGAAAGCAGGACAGCATTTACTACCCTGGAAATGACGCTGGTTTTAAAAACACACACATAAAAACCACTTCTGAAGCTCTAAAGTGTGGATATCTCCCTCAAGTTAAAACAGCAGGCGTTTTTTTAAAGTGCATGGATATTTAGTAAAAATGCCTCTCCATCACAGTATAATTGCAACAACAAATGCAATATGCATTTGAGCAATACGGGCGAGGTAAAACGGAAATAAAACAGAGTAGGTGGGAAATGTAATGGGAGTTTGGTAACATAGCATAGCTAGCAAGCAAGGAAAACAACGTTTCTTGTGTTAATTGGTGTATATATTGGCATCCAGTATCAGCATTAAGGTTCCTACTGAAAAGTCACCTGTCCACTCAGGCTTTCCCCAAAGGGTGATCCAGCTATGTTGTTGTTGTTTAGTCATTTAGTCGTGTCCGACTCTTCATGACCCCATGGACCAGAGCACGCCAGGCACTCCTGTCTTCCACTGCCTCCCGCAGTTTGGTCAAACTCATGCTGGTAGCTTTGAGAACACTGTCCAACCATCTCGTCCTCTGTCATTCCCTTCTCCTTGTGCCCTCCATCTTTCCTAACATCAGGGTCTTTTCCAGGGCGTCTTCTCTTCTCATGAGGTGGCCAAAGTACTGGAGTCTCAGCTTCAGGATCTGTCCTTCCAGTGAGCACTTAGGGCTGATTTCCTTCAGAATGGATGCGTTTGATCTTCTTGCAGTCCATGGGACTCTCAAGAGTCTCCTCCAGCACCATAATTCAAAAGCATCCATTCTTCGGCGATCAGCCTCCTTGATGGTCCAGCTCTCACTTCTATACATCACTACTGGGAAAACCATAGCTTTAACTATACGGACCTTTGTTGGCAAGATGATGTCTCTGCTTTTTAAGATGCTGTCTAGGTTTCATAAATCTGATCTACCGATTTGCGATGCGTTTAACGTTTGTTTCGCTGCTGTAAATTTATTGTTGATTTTGGTGTATGCAATCAGAAACAAAGCCATACAGATGTGAACCGATGTGAAGTGCATGTAGCAGGCAGGGGGAAGGAGCACTTTGCTGGACTCCAAGACAGAAATAAGAACACACCCTTAGCTCCTGCGCTCTTTCCTGCTCCGAGTCTGCCGTGCCTTGTCTGCGGCCTTCCAGCAACTGGGCGTCCGAAATACCTCGTTCTCGATAAGCGGCTGTTCAGGAAGGGCTCATTCTAAAATTAATGGGCGAGCCTGTCCCCACTCAACATTCCACCTTGCCAGGCTTCGCATTCCTGTTCCTCACCCTTCCCCTCCAACAGCAACAGCCCTTCCTCCCAGATTTATTAACGGCTTGCTGGGAAGTCAAGCCAAAGACGACCCATCTCCCTTTGAGCTCTGACACTGGAGGGTCGACTCAGCATCTCCATCACCTTGTCTCTAATGGGTTTTTCCTCCTCACCCCTGATAGCATCCTCGAATAATGGCCCATATCTGCTCCTGGTGCCTGCTTCTCAGCTGAAAACCCCCACCTCTTCCCCACTCCACTGCCCCCGGCCTGCATTTTATAGGCACTTAGTGATGTCGTCTCCAAAGGGCCCTACTACAAGGCAGTTTTCAAGCACCATTCAAGGTCAATAAGCTCTCAAGATATTGAACGTATTGTTAGATCTATCTATATATGCCATGTGCTTTGGCATGTGTGTGTGCATGCGCAGGACTGCTTTCTACTTCAGGGTTTCTGGACTCTTCTAAATGGATAGAACAGACTTTCAGTCAAGGCTGGTCCAAGAGGTGGACCCCAGATTGGAGTCCCAGATTGGAGGGGTGAGGGGAGATCTATATCACCAGTGTCAAAGCAATGATTCTTCAACCTCAACTTCATTGGACTAGTTATGTTGTGCGGATGCCTGATTATTGTCTTCCAAAGCAACTACTCTACTCCAAACTTAAAAATGGAAAGCGTAATGCTGGTGGTCAACAAAAGACTCTCTCAAGGCAAATCTAAAAAGATGTAGTATAAACACCAACAACTGGGAAACACTGGCTTGCGAGTGCTCCAATTGGAGAACAGCCTTTACCAAAGGTGTCATGGACTTTGAAGACGCTCAAACTCAGGACGTAAGGGAGAAACATGCTAAGAGGAAGGTATGTTTGGCAAATCCACACCGTGATCAACTCCCGCCTGGAAACCTATGGTCCCACTGTGGAAGGACATGTGGATCCAGAATTGGCCTCCACAGTCACTTACAGACTCACTTTTAAAACCGTGTTTATGGAAGACAATCTTACTTGACTACGAGTGATCGCCAAAGAAGAAGAATACCAGGAAGATCTACATCAGGAACATCAGAACACTGGGATCTGCTGCCCTGGTGGATCTCTTGCCTCATGGGTAGGCAGGTCCTGCTGCTGCATGAGGACAGAGAGGGGCATTTGTCCGTGCAGGAAAGAGGGAAGCCCCAGTTTTCATTTATCACTTTGTTTTCAGGGGCCACGGGGCAAGAAGCTTGTCCCAAGTCACAAAAGCAATGACTTCAGCCTTTCTGCATGCAGCTCTAAATGCCCTCTCCTTGAAGAGCCAGAAGCAGCTACTATTTCTTTTCCTTGCCCATGTTACCTGTTCTCTCGGCCAGAGGGAGAGAAGAACAGGTAAGGATGGCAAGAAGAGAAGAATTATCCCTGACCCCTGACGCCAACCCAGGCATGCCTCTTTGGAAATATTAAGAGGAGGGACTCATGGAGAGATGAAACAGGCAGCCCCTGCTGATGACAAGCAATTCTGCTGCACCTCTGCACCAGATGTGACTGGATTATCCAATCACAGCTGATGCAGAGACATGCTCTGGGACAGAAGAGCATTACTCACTGCGAGCAGGGAGTTTGGGTGGCCAGCAGCGGCCTTCTGACAGTTGCCTATCATGACATGCTGTTCATTTGGGAACAGCTGCCTGGGTGGACAATGCCAAGGGTTAGATAGCTGCATCATTTTTCATAGCTCTTGTGAGCGAAGAAAATTGGTCTCAAATAACCGAGTGCATCTGTTCTAGCTTACGAACTAGAAGGGTTTGTTTTTATTTTATGTACTAGAAAGCTTTGGGGGCAAGTGGAAGGTATGTGTTTGTTTGTTTGTTTGTTTGTTTGTTTGTTTTGGTAAGAAAAATATAAATGGTTTTATGAAATCGGTATCACCTGATGGAGGTTTAATACGTTTTGTGAGTTTGGTTTTAGTATGGGTATATTTTACTGCTGTTAGGTTGCTTTAGGAGTTTGCTTTTGTGAGCGGGGGGAGAATAATGAGGGTTTTGTTTTTGTTTTTTTAAAAAAGCAATTAACCATTTGCCCCAAATTATCCTCAGAGGACTACTTGCACTGTTTTCACTTGTTGTGAAGACAAAACACGGAGGCTTTGATTTGGCTTTGGTGTGAGAGCTGGGGGATAGGAATACAGGCAAAGCCTGTTACAGCAAGAGTAAGGTACCTTTATTGCTGTGGGCCTAACTCCCTCCCACTACAAATCAGGCAGGCACAGTCCCTGATATGTTTCAGGTGCCAGGTTAAAATGGTTTTATTTCACTATTGGAATATGAACGCTGTTCCAGCATTTGCCGTCTTCTGATATTCTAGCTTATGTTTTAAGTTCTGTGTATTTTATGCTCTACTCTTTTAAGCCGCTTTGAGACAAATTGTAGAAAGCGGGGTATAAATTTCTTGAACAAAACAAAATTATTTCTGCAACTGCATTCCTGGCTTAGGAACATTGCCACCATGGAATACACTTGAATTTTTTTACCTGATGCCCATCAAAAGCCGTGTCAGAAACTAGTACAGTGGTACCTCGGTTTACGAACTTAATCTGTTCCGGAAGTCCGTTCTTAAACCAAAGCCGTTCTTAAATCCAGGTGAGCTTTCCCTAATGAGGCCTCCCGCCACCGGTGCCCTTCCACCGTTCGGCTTCTGTTCACAGACGGAGATAAAGTTCGCTAGCCAGAACACTACTTCCAGTTTTGTGGAGTTTGTATACCAAATAGTTCGTAAACAGGGCTGTTCTTAAACCGAGGCACCACTGTATGTGCTTAGAAGTAACACAATTATACATGAAAATATAATCTTATTTTAAAAACAGCTTTAAAAGTGGTTTTTTGTATTATTCAATAAGTTGTAGGTACAGTACAACAACAATGCAGAAAGACTGCAATACTGCTTCATGACATATGACCAAAGGAATACTTTGAATTATTAGTTGGAAGGAGAGATGGAGATTTGGAAAACAGAGCGGCCACCTCTCTACAATCAAGCAAGACTTTGGAGCCTTTTAACAGCTAACAGGAAAGCAGCTGAGATTCAGGAAGTGATGCCTTTTTATGCCACTGCACACAGGAAACACTGAAGCTGTGGTCCTCTACTTACAATGGTGTAAGCCCCAACTAAAACCACTGTGACTTACTTCTAAGTAGACGCTGTAAACCTACCTCTCCTAGAGCTCTTCAGGGCCGAGAAGCTCCGGCAGGTTTCTCTTGTTATTTTTGAAAGCAGCAAACTTTTAAAGATTATTTAAAAGCTTTAATTTTTATTATTATTTGAAAACAGCAAAGTTTCAAAGCTCTTAAAACCGTGATCACCGACCTTTTTGCGGAGATCATCACAGTAAGGGCCGGATTTAGGTTTGATGAGGCCCTAAGCTACTGAAGGTAATGGGGCCCTTTATATGTCCAGCTGTCCTTTGTCAACAACAATTTGTTGCTGTTTTTTGTGTTAAATATATGCTATATGGTAATTTATGGACCTAACAGGTATCTAAAGCCATTTGCACATAACAAAATATGTATTTTATCAAAGTAATTGTTGAACCGAAATACGATTATTTGGAATTTGCTGCCAAGGAGTGTGGTGGAGTCTCCTTCTTTGGAGGTCTTTAAGCAGAGGCTTGACAACCATATGTCAGGAGTGCTCTGATGGTGTTTCCTGCTTGGCAGGGGGTTGGACTTGATGGCCCTTGTGGTCTCTTCCAACTCTATGATTCTATGATTAAGAAGAAGTATATTAAGAGTGAATTTTTTTTGGGGGGGGAGCCCCAAGAGAGTGGAGCCCTAAGCTATAGCTTGTTTAGCTTATACAGTATGTAAATCCAGCACTGCCACAATACCCTTCATGCACGGTTTCTTGAAACCAGCCCTGGCACCCTCCTGGCACAAGGGTGGGCTGAATATCTGGGGGCCTTTTAAAATCAATATCTCCTGACTCCTGGGGGGGGATGGAAAGGGGGGCTGCCTCTGCAAAGCCAACTCCCGCAGAGCCCCCTGGCAGGGGATGCTGCAGCAACTTACATGTGGCGCGGGGGGGCCTTTTTCCGCCGCCCCATCTCCAGGATCTCGTACAACATGGTGCTAGCAGGCCTGGCACCCAAGGGGGGGAGAAGGGGGAGAGGGGCGTGGGAGGGCGCGCAGCTTCGAACGCCGCGACAGGGAGACTTCAGATGCAGCGCCGCGTTTTGATGCTTTGATGCCGGATGGTTGCTAGGCGACTGCATCCCGGAGAAAGGCGGGGACAGAACGCGGAGGGCGGAATGTAGGCGGTGCGCGCTCCCCTTGGCCAATCAGAATCGCCCCTCTGGCCGTCCGTTAGTATGTACCTGTTCATGCTTTAAAGCCGGGAGAGCCAGGGACAATCTCCTGCGCATTTACTCGGAAGTAAGCCCCGCACCTCGTGCATTGCGACTGGATCTCAGTTACTAAGTGTGATTAGGATGGAGATATTCCAAGATAAGGGCTGCAATCCTGGGGACTTGCTTTTGAGTAGCCCTACAGAGGGTTGTGCTGCAAACTGCATCGGACCTAGGCAGCCTGGGCACCATAGATTTAGAGCACATTCCTTGCCCCGATCCTGGGAAACATAGTTTCTTAAGGGTGCTGGGAATTGTAGCGCCGTGACGGGCAAACTGCAATTTTCAGGATTCTTTGGTGGCTGAAATGTGATGTACGTGTGTGTGTGTGTGTGTGTGTGTGTGTCCCTTGTTTAAAAACCTCAAAATTAAGACGTTTAAATTATTAAGGAGACATCTATTAATTAAGTGGCGTTTTCAGCCTCGGCACTTACTTTTGCTCCTCCCATGTTCAGGTTGTAGCACAGAGGCGAATGCCTCAGCTGGTGGGTTTTGGGTGCCAGGCAGACAGATCTGGCCCGCTGGACATAAGCCATTGTGTTGCGCAAGCCCCAGGGAACTTCCCAATGGATTGTGCTTTGAGTTAATTAGTGGGGAAATCCATATTGGATAATATTTATTTCAGGCTGGATGAGCTGTAGTTTGTTAAATGTGTTGGGGAGTGTAGCTTTGTGAAGGGTAAACTCCAGCTCCCAGGATTCATTGGGGAAGGGTTTTTTTCCTCTCCATATTTTTTATTAAAGATTTCTTGGTTTACAAAAGTATGTGCAATGTCTCTTTTTTTCAAGTTACATTTTCTACAGATCAGTTTCATTTGTTGAGACGTTAGTGTTTTAAATGTATGGTGTTTGTGCCCAGATCTCTTGGGCTGTCCCAGAACATGTCTCACCTCAAATCTATATAACTGGGCCAACCGAATCAAAATTGTGCAACACACAGTTTTCATTCTTTCTTTAAAATGACAGTTTATTGTTTTATGGTGACAGAACAGCCGAGTCTAACGAAGAATCCCTAATTTGCCTACAGAAATATCTTCATCAAAGCATTGTGGCATAGCACTAATAAATAAACATTAGCTTCCCTAGCACAGAAAGGTTGCCTTGCTCCTTTGTTCACCCGTAAACTCACTCCTCATGGCAGTCATTAATTGCTGTCTAGTAGCCCCCTAGTTTTATATAATCACAGCATCCGGGAAGACATCCACTAGTGAGTTTGCCAGGAACAGCTTCCTGCTCTAAACTGATTTTTTCATGTATTTCTCACCCAGCCGGTTCCAACGTCCATGTTCTCCAAGGGGTGGAACATCCTTGCAAAGTGGAAGAAACCAAGTGACGAGAGTCCATCTGCCTCTGTTCACAGCCACAGCCATTTATTTTAGAGTTCCCACCAACTCACTCTCCACTGCTTTTATTTTATGCAGGCTATCAGTCTGTGCTGCTTTGCTAGAAACAGATTGCCAGAAGACAAAACTTAGACCTGGTCCACAGGGATGTCCTGTTGGAGCAAGGTCTTCAGGTGACCAGTGTAATGTAGTGGTTAAGAGCGGTAGACTCGTAATCTGGTGAACTGAGTTTGTGTCTCCGCTCCTCCACATGCAGCTGCTGGATGACCATGGGCTAGTCACACTTCTTTGGAGTCTCTCAGCCCCACTCACCTCACAGAGTGTTTGTTGTGGGGGAGGAAAGGAAAGGAGAATGTTAGCCACTTTGAGACTCCTTTGGGTAGTGATAAAGCGGATATCAAATCCAAACTCTTCTCTTCTTCTTCTCTGACAATCAAGTGGAACATCTCTGTCCAGAGCTAGTATATCTGTGTGTTAGAAGCTGGAAAACAAACTTCTGGAGAAGGCTTGTGAGTATCGAGAGGAATCTAATTTAGTCCATACCGTGTCCACTTCTGGGTACCACAAGATAAGAAGGATATTGACAAGCTGGAAGGTGTGCAGAGGAGGGCGACCAAGATGATCAAGGGTCTGGAAACTAAGCCTTATGAGGAACGGTTGAAGGAGCTGGGTATGTTTATCTTGAAAAAGAGAAGACTGGACTTCCAGAGCATGTATAATGGGACATGAATCCATAGTTCTCTCCATAGTTTTTAATTTGGTAATGAGTTGTAATTCAGCAACTTCTCTTTCAAGTGTATTTCTAAAATTCCTTTGCAATAAGACAGCTACTTTAAGATCTTGTACAGAATGTCCTGGAAGATTGAAGTGTTCTATTGGTTTCTCTGTTTTATGATTCCTGATGTCAAATTTGTGCCCATTTATCCTTTGGCATAAAGTTTGTCCTGTTTGTCCCATTATATATACTAAAGCTAATTTTGGTCATCCATCCCTTTAAAAATCCCTTGGAACCAACTGCCACAACGGTCAGCGACAGTTATAAGGTTGAAGCGACCGCTGCTTCAGAGTATCTGACGGAGTGTGTATTACACACGAAAGCTCATACCTTGAAAGCTTATATTTAGTTGATCTTAAAGGTGCCACTGGAATTGTTAAAAAATGTTTTTTCATCTCTCATCTTGTTATTTATTATGACTGTGACAGATCAACATGGCTATCCACCTGAATCTTTAAAAGCATGATACTTGTATCCAAGGTTGCTTGCACCTGAGTTGCTAATGAGTAGGCTCACCAGTGTCACATTCAGGTGTGACCAAGATCCAGCATGGAGGTAAACTGATGGGAAATGGTTTGCCTGCTACATTTCTGTGGGACACAGGCTACCGTTAAAGTCCTCAGAGCAGACCTGGAAAATTGGCTGAAGGAATCCTAATCCAAAAGCTTAAGCACAGTGGAACAAGTTATTGTGTGTTAAAAACCCTACAAAGTGAACAGGAACGGGCTGACCACCCAACTATAATGCTTAAGCCAGGGGTCAGCAATCTTTTTCAGCCTTGGGCCGGTCCACCGTCCCACAGACCATTTGGTGGGCCGGACTATATTTTGAAGAAAAAAATAATGAACGAATTCCTATGCCCCACAAATAACCCAGAGATGCATTTTAAATAAAAGCACACATTCTACTCATGTAAAAACACGCTGATTCCTGGACCGTCCGCTGGCCGGATTGAGAAAGCAATTGGGCCGCATCCGGCCCATGGGTTGCCTACCCCTGGCTTAAGCAATCGTACTATAAACTGCCTTATTATTACAGCTATATATATATTTTCATGCTTAAAAAAAATCCCCCCCAAACAAAGAAGGCGTTTCATTATAATTTGCACATTTATTTTTCTGTGGAGAACCTCTTGTTCAAAAGAAGGATAGCATCTCGTCCAGCAAGCTAAACCCCATTTTCCCCTTCAGTGTGTTCTTGTCCCTCTGCCCCCCACCCCACCCCCGGCTAGCCAGTCTCTGTTATGCATGCTTGGTTACAGGGATCCCCTGTGGCATTACGCTGTCAGAGAACATCTTCAACATATACCCAGTGGTGTGTGCTGGAGCGTAAATATATATAAAATCCACAGATAAACCCTGTTGTTGCTGAGGTGTGGCGGTTGTCATGGGTGTAGCCAGGATTTGTGTTGGCGGGGGGCAGGCCTTTTGTTAGGGAGGGACAGAACCTCAGTTTGTTATGTATTTTTATTGAATTTTATTGATGGGGGGCTGCCCCTCCCTGCCCCCCCCCAGCCACGCACATGGTGGCTGTTAGTTACTATATATATATATATATATATATATATATATATATATATATATATATATATATTCCAGCAATAAATAGCGTCACGGCCAGAAGGACGTTATAAAATAAATAACGGCATTTTTCTCTGGGCTGCCTTAAAATGAAATAATCTGGATCCTTGCTCAGCCTCCTGGAAAACCTGGTGTAAAACTCAGCAGGAAACCCCCCAGAGGGCTCTGCAAAGGGTTCTGGGAGTTTTTTCCGGCTACAAAATGCTTACTGACCTCACACTCAAGAGAAAGATTTATCAGCCTTTGGGGAAAGAGGATGTCATACTTGGCTTAAGATAAGTCTGTATGCAGATCTCTCTTTTTCAAAAATAAAAATAAAATGTGCACGGTTTAGGAATGGTTGCAAAACAATAGATGATTTAGCTCTCGTAATAAGATTAATTGCCATCTTCCTTGGGTCCGCTGAACTAAGCACAGAGTATTGAGTTACGAGCAATTCATTTTATCCTAAATGCTGAGCCGTGAACTCCCTCAAAGGATTCTGGGAACTGTGGTTTGTTAATGGTGCCGGGTAAAGTAAACTACAGTACCCAGAATTCTTTGAGGGAAGCCATGACACTTAAAGTGGTCGCCGAAGCCTCCATTCTGGTGTTGCGTGGCAGCAACTTGGAGGTTCTGGCAAAATCTCACAAGAGCTCTGCAAAATCTTGCCAGAATGCATAAGCCACAGCTGCTTTTTCCTTGCTTCTCCAGCGGCAGCAGGGGTTGCCCCACTACCACCATGGGAAAAGTGAGGAGAAGCAGGGGCAGGGGCAATACTTCTCTCCGCTTCTATGGTGGCAGCATTGCTCCTGTGGGATTCCACCACCCAAGGTGGCTGCCTCTGACCACCTCATGGGCGGGGCGGCCCTCTTTAAATGGTGTGGATTTGAACTCGGGTCTCTGAGCAGGGATGCTTGTGCAAGAGAGACGAATCCGTACAGCAGGCTCAGGGGTACCAAAACACTGCAAATATTTTTGGGAGCATGGAACTAAGAGGCGGCAAGCCCAAAAACAGCCCGTTGAGGATATGACTTGTTTAGCGGCCACAGAAAGTTGGCTGGTGGTTAGGAAATGAGAAGTGGAAGAGAGAATGAGATGGAATACCTGCATTGCAGTCAAGTTGATACTGTGTTTTTTAAAGAAATACTGTGTTTTTTAAAGAAATTCCAAAGTTTAAAGAACTTTTGGAGTGATTTGACACTCTTGACCAGGCATAGGCAAACTCTGGCCCTCCAGAAGTTTGGGACTACAATTCCCATCACCCCTAGCTAACAGGACCAGTGGTCAGGGATGTTGGAATTGTAGTCCCAAACATCTGGAGGGCCGGAGTTTGCCTGTGCCTGACTTAGAGAGTCTCGTCCCCTACGAAAAGCAGTGTGTACACACACACACACACACACACACACACACAAACACACTGCAAAAGAACAACAGATAAATACATAAATAACTGACATAGATTAGGCCTGGGAGAGCAGGATTTCAACATGGCTATCTAAGTTTGCTGACTCTTCCAAAACAAAATGATGACAGGGTGCAACCAACTTCCAACAATAGGCAGCGGGGCAGGAAGAATAGGCTGCTAGGCGCTATTTGTCAGAGTTAAGCTGCAGTTTCAATACAGCAATGCTGATGACCTAAATCCATTATCTGGGCCCTGTAATCTTGCAGTCCCCTAATGGGCTGATGAAAAGGAATGTACCTTTTGTACTTGTCCCTGACAGAAGGAACAGTTTGCGAACGCAAGATCTGTCCCACGCAGGGTGTGTTGACGAAACATGGTTAGAGGAGAGAAATGCTTCCTTTCCGAAACGACAACTGGACTTGGGGTTCACCTGACGAAACTGGCTGGCAGCTCAGGGCAAAGCAAAAGGAGCCAGCCGCAGCTACGAGTTTTGATGGTTTTTGAAAGAATCAGACATCCATGAGGTTGTTGTTGTTGTTGTTGTTAGGGCTCATTAGCCATGGAAGCCCAATTTAGCCTCCTTCTGCGAAAGCTCTGCTTGCACAATCTGGCTTGCAATGTTGCTGTTCGAAGGCATTGAGGCAGGTCAATGAAAAAATAACGAGAAGCTTATAAATACATTCATATTTCTCTAAGGAAAAGAAGGAAACCTTCTTGGCTGCTTCTCCTCTCTGGGTTGGAGTATAAGCAGGTCCACTGACCTAAGGTGTGTCAGAGGCCTGTGCTAATACATTATCCATGGGGGCTTCCTTTCTGGAAGCATATTTTATTTAAGGTTTTTTAGATTCGGGCATTTCAAGTAGCGACGTCAGAGCGGGAGCCTGTTACAGAGCCTTGGTTGACTTAGAAATTATCCCCACCAGGAAAAGCAAAGTGACTGATTATGAGGAAGAGATTTTGCAGGAGACTTGTTGACGTCACTTTAAAAGATGGCAGGTCTACCGCAAAACAGTCCAGTGTGTTGCTCATTTAAGCCACAATCGTGCAATACTTTAAAGTTACCACTTTAAACAGTCACGTTTATGGAATTCTGGGAGGTGTAGTTTGTTAATGGTGCTATTCCGCTCACAGAGCCAAAGTTCAGGCTGGATTAAGAGAATCCCTCTTCCCAGGGAATTCTGGGAATTCCCTAGGAACTCTGGGAATTGTCCTGCAAGATTTGGAGGGCCACCGGCTCCGCAACTCAACCTTCCCCTCTTTCTTGATGTCCCTTTGTGGCAATGCAAAGGAGCCT